TGTGCGTGTATGTGTAAGAAATATATATATATATAATATATATATATATATATATATATATATAGAGAGAGAGAGAGAGAGAGAGAGAGAGAGAGAGAGAGAGAGAGAGAGAGAGAGAGAGAGAGAGAGAGAGAGAGAGAGAGAGAGAGAGAGAGAGAGAGAGAGAGAGAGAGAGAGAGAGAGAGAGAGAGAGAGAGAGAGAGAGAGAGAGAGAGAGAGAGAGAGAGAGAGAGAGAGAGAGAGAGAGAGAGAGCCCCCCACACACACATGTACTAGTTGCAACAAACAGTTAATAGTAATGATTTTAAGCGAGAAAATAACTCGAAAAGTGACAAAAAGTGGGACACTAAAAAACTTAATATAAATTATTCAAAAAAAGTATCAGTGACCTCATTACTAACGACGTGAGTTACTCATAGATGGTGTTAAGAATGATAATGAATATCAAAATAATAAAGATAATTGTGATGATAACGGCAATGATGACTACTACTTTTAAGACAAAAAAGATAGTGTAAAGAATGATTATGATTATACACAATGCATACCTACACACACAGTGTATGCGTGTATGTTCAAATAGCTATTTAGATCTAAACATATATATATGAATACTAATATTAAGATAATGCACATATCTAGATATTTCAGCCTATCTATCCGCTGATTATTTCCAGTCTATTTGCACATACGTACGTGCGTGTGTGGATTGTGAATTAGCCTTGCGCCTGCGTGTTCCTCTTTGTGTGACTTTCACTATGTACAGGAGCTTTACAACAAATGTTCTCACAGCCAAAGATAAAGCAAGCAGGACGGACATGCAGGAAGGCTCCCTCGCGCCGCGCTCGGCCGCCACTCACCCTGACTTGGCGAAGTTGGTGAGCAGCGTGATGACGTCCTCGGAGAGCTGCGTGAGCGGGAGGGCCTTGAGGGGGGGCGTCGGCGCCCCAGGGGACCGTGTGACGTCACTGAGCCCCGTGCCCCACATCAGGCCCAGCTCCCATCCGGGAACTTGCAACTGGAAAGAGCACGATGAGCGTGAGGGCTTCTTGCCTTGGTAGATACGCTTCATCTTTTAATCTAGTTTGATTTTGATTTTATTATTCATCCCTCTAATAATTTATGATCTTGGTTTTTGCTGATAATCCTTGAGTGGCTAGCAAGTGAACTGATGTGTACGTGTGCATTTTAGTCTTTGTTGTGTGTGTGTGTACTTGTATGCATTTTCATATGCATTATCTAAATTCGCATTCAGCTTTCAAAGCATGTACAAGGTATACTGATGGGTGTGAATATATTCTTCCCCGTCCGTTCTTTAAATAAACGCAGATTGCCCGTGTACCCGGAAAATTGAGTAGATGAGCGCACAAAGGCGTGATAAAAATGTCGGGTGAAACCGGCCAGCCGTGCGGGCGCGTTATTGTTGTGAAGCCAGGATTTAGATCCACTCGCCGCCTCCCCCGACCCTCTCTATTCAGCGGGAATCATCAGCGTGCATAATTTGCAGCTGGCACTGCGGGAAATGTGTCCGGCTACTTAAGCCCGGACTGAGGCTGAGGCGACACTCCCTCCACTGACCTGGCCGTCGAGCCTGTTCCCGAGGTCACACAGGAACATGAACACCTTGGTGTGCCGCGAAAGGTGGTCGGCCGCCTGGTGTAGGGGCGCCACCACGCCCGCGTCGCCCAGCAGGTGCAGCAGGAGGTTCCGCCTTTCCTCCGGGCTTGGCGTGACGGCCGTCCAGTCCGTGTACTCCTGCAGCGCCGCCGCCAGCACCTCGCGCAGGTGGTGATGGCGCGTGTTGCGCACCCACGTCCTCGCCACCCGTTCAAAGATCACGTTGTCGACGCCCTTCTCGACCAGGCTCTGGCCCAGCCACGACCACGCCTCCCACGGCGTGTAACCGATGACGACCTCGACGCGCTGCCGCCCCATCGACGAACCCCGCCGGGCTCCCGCGACCACCACGCCATCCTCGCTTGGCCCCCACGCTGGGATGAACGCCGGGGACTCAACCTTCCGCGCCGCCGACATGAGGGCCTCTAGTGGCGCCGCCCGTAGACATGCCACAGTTCGTGGGTGGGCCGACGCGGGGTCGTCAGGCACGGGGCAATCGGCGGCCATGGCCAGGCGCAGCGTGACGCTCAACGGGGCCGTCACCCACGACCAAGGGCATCGCGACCACCCCGACAGCATGACAACACGGTGGAACAGCCCTGCCAAAAAGAGATGCTTTTACATACATTGTGCTGATAGTCATAGATGCTATCATTCACTTTAAGTATTCTATATTTAATTGATCTCTGATTAACTGATGAAAAAATAATACCACAGGTCTTAGCATGTTAGGATGTTCGAATTTCGAAAACAGGGTTATCCAACACGGGTGGGTTCACTTGGGATACTGTGACGATGACTCACCGTAACCCATACTACGACCATCTAATTAACACCTCCTCAGCCAGATCTAGTTTATGACACGTCGACGATTCATAGCAAAGTAAAAAAACTAATACCGAGGAATCTGTCAGCAGTTGAGGACAGGGACCTCACCAAGAGGCACGACAGATATCTTCAGTTGGCATAGATAAGAGATAAGATGCCCAGAAACGAAGTTAACCTACCTGGGGGCACAATGGGGCTCTCCATCAGGAACGAGATGCAAGCCGCTCCTGTGTCCCTGCCGAAGAGCGTCACTCTTGAGGGGTCGCCATTGAACTGATTGATGTTCTCCGCGACCCAGTTAAGGGCGGCGATCTGGTCGAGCAGCGCGAAGTTGCTCACCACGCCCCCCGCCCCGCCGCCGTAAGTGTTTAGGAACCCTGTGGGCGAGAGTGAAGGATGCCTTGTAGGTGTGTGCTTCAGGACTCTTATGTTGCCACTTACAGCATGTCAAGGTATCGTATGATGTGCAAGAGAATAACATTTTATTTCACATATATTACTGTTACAAAGGAACCTTTCTCATTTGGACCAAATACCTGAGTTAGATACATGTACTTTGTATATATCAATGCAAATACATTGCCAACTGGGCCTGTACTGGTACACCAATTGCAGCCGCATTGTCATTTTTATTGTTGCCGGTAATTTTCGTTCAATTTATGGGTCATATTAATGGTGATGATAATGATAAAAAAGTAATAAGAACAATAATGATAAAAATAATGGCGAAGATAATAGTAATAATAAAAATGACAAAAATAGCAACGACAATAATGATGATAATCATATTGATAATTAATAAAATGATTATGATAATGTTGATAATGCCAAAGATAGTGATGTTAATAATAATAATAATAATTGTTATTATTGTTATTATTATTATAAT